TGTTTTTTATTAGGTGCTTCAAAATGGAAAGCCAACACAACAGTTTACACCGTCAAGGCGTATTCGGCAAGGTGATCCCATATCCCCTTATTTGTTTTTGTTATATGCGAAGGCCTTATCTGCTTTGATACGGCGAGTTGAAACAGAGGAACAGATCTCCGGCATATCAATTTGTCAAGGGAGACCTCAAATCTCCCATATTTTCTTCGCCGATGATAGCTTGTTATTTGCCAAGGCAACTGACCAATCTATGAACATAGTTGGATCTATGTTGCGAAAGTATGAATTGGCCTCTAGACAGAAAGTCAACTTTGAAAAATCGGGGATATGTTTTAGCTCGAATGTGAGGAAAAAGGAGCAGATCCATCTTTCAACTTTGGTGGGTGCGGGCCAGCTGGTGAATAATATGAAATATTTGGAGATGCCATTAGTTGTGGTTTAGTCAAAAAAGGTAGTGTTTAATTATATAAAAGACAGAGTGTGGCAGTGCCTCAATGGCTGGAAGAAAAAAATTTTTGTCGGTAGCTGAGAGAGAAGTTCGTATTAAGGTCGTAGCTCAAGCTATCCCAACATATATAATGTCTTGTTTTGAGTTGCTAGATGGTTTGTGCCATGAGATTAGTGGTATGATAGCGAGGTTTTGGTGGGGTCAACGTAAGGAAATGTACAAGATTCATTGATGCAGTTGGAAGAATCTATGTGAGGTGAAACCTAAAGGTGGGATGGGTTTTAGATCTCTTATGGCTTTTAATAAGGCTTTGTTGGCCAAGGAAGCGCGGAGACTCCTAAAATTCCTGAATAGCTTGGTGGCTCAAGTATTGAAAGCTAAATATTATCCAAACTACTTGATTCTTGACGCATCACTGGGGGGCGAGTCCATCATTTTTGTGGAGGAGCATTTGGAATGCATAACTATTCTGTTAGAATGTATGAGGTGGCGCATTGGAGATGGGTCTCAAATCCGAATATGAAAGGACAAATGTGTACCACGACCATATTCTTTCAAAATCTGTTCACCTCATAATTTCTTGCATGAAAATGATAGAGTGAGTGCACTGATTGATAGTGATTTAGGGAATTAGAATGACGAAGTTCTTGTTGTTTGCTCCCACCATATGAAGTCGAGGTAATTAAATCTATACATGTTTGCCCATATTCGTCGAAAGACACACTAGTGTGGTATTACACAAAACAGGGCCTTTTCTTAGTTAGCTTGGCTTATCATCTTGAAATGGGTATTTTTTCTAGGTCTAAGCACACCCTACAACCCCCCAAAAAAAAATCACACAAATTTGAAAAAGAAAGAAATACTAAAAGAAAAATACTTCATCTACACAATTTTTGCCCTACAACCCCCCAAATAGTGTGGTAAGAAAAACTTGAATTAATGACCCACATTTCTACATTCATCTCTTCTCTCAAAACCTTTTAACTAACCTTGGCCTCGTTTGGAAAGTTGACTATTTTAATAGGCTATTTTAATTTTTAGCTATTTTAATATGCTAAAACATCTGTATTTGGGAAGATAATTTGATTTTTTTATAGTTGGATATGATATTTGTGAGAGAAAAAAATAAAATAATTATAAATTTAATGTGATATTTTACCGTATTAATTATTTTAACTTATTTTATTTTTCGTGAACTTTAGTCCAAAAAATAATAAAAACCTTTGCCAAACAAGGCCCTTGTTATGTCAAATAGTATTGCTATTAAAAAAATATATGATTATAAAATGAAAGAATAACACGTCAGTGGAAGTAATAAAAATTATTTTAAAAATAAAAAAATTATAATTATAATTATTAATATTTATAATATTATTTATTTTTGTAAATAATGACAGTCTAATTTCAGTTATAAAATTGTGGAGACACGTTTCATCACAGTAGACCCGGCTGCGCCACGTGTTGTATTTCATTAAAGAACTCACCACGAAGCATCATCATTAATACACACGTGATGAATGTGCTTCATATAGTGGTCATGCTTTCACATGCCACTATGACGTAAAAATAGTAATAATCACGTTTTTTAGATGGGGAAAAAACAATGATGCTACTTTTTATTTCGTTTATATGCATGGTTATAAATTTTGTAATTTTTTTTTGTTACCACTTATTAATTACGATATTATTTTAGTTATGATCTAATATTCCTTTTATTATATTTTAAGTGATATTTAGTTATAATTTTTTTATTTTTTTAAATATGAGTCTCATAAGATTGAAACGTAATATTTATGATAATCAAATTTACAAGTGTATTATACACGACCATAGCATTACTCCTTTTTATATGTATGATAAATCTTATATATAATATTTTTTAGACAAATTTGCATAAAAAGTTATTCAAGTTTAATAATTAATTAGTTTGTAACAAAATAATACATAAAAGGATTTTGTTAATGACTTATGTTGTTTTTTGTTTTTGTTTTTTTTTTTTTTCAATGTAAAATATACATGTGTTTTTCTATGGGCTGATGCAGGATTCTAACCTCAGTAAGGCGGATATCTATTTAATAAAAAGAGTTTAGTATTTTTTTACATTTTGTTATCCTTGTAGAAACAAGTAATGTTAAAATAAGATGAATCAATCCCTGATAAGATGATAAATTAACAACTTTCTTATCTTTACAAACACTTGGCACAATTAAAAAATTATTGACAACTTTTGAAACTAGGAATGTCTAAGAATGTCAATCTAGTTTTGCAACTGAAATTTTAAATGCATGATTCTCTTAAGGGTTTGGTTATAAGGAGAAGGTTATGGGTTCAACTTTCTCGAAAGAGTTGAATTAAGATGTAAACACTTGGTAATTTGCAAATGTAGGGATGCTAACTCCTATTAGGTGTTAATTTAATAATTAACAATTGACTTTTACTGATTAAAAAAAATTAAAATTTAAATGCAAATTTAATTTATTTGAAAGTTTTGCAAATATCTTCGATTTTGAAATACTTATAACTATTCCTAAAATTCAAAGCATAACTAAGATCAAACAACTTTTTTAATTATTAGATCCTCTTTAAAAAATTTGTTTAATTCTTGTAATTGTAAAAATATCAATATGAAAATGATCCTCAATGGTTTTGTGGTGTCTTTTTCATGACGAGCACAATTTTCATCGAACGTAAGGCCTCAAAAATAAGAGAATAAGAGATAAAAAGAGAATTGAAATAGAGAAATAAGAAGAAGAAGATGAACGATTAGAAGTAGAAGAAGTTTTGAAAGAGAGATGAAGAAGACGAAAAAAATAGTGATTGAGTTGAGGAGAATATTGAAAAGACAAAAAAAAAATGTAAGGAAATTTTTATATTGAATTTTTTTTTAAGATTCCTGATATTAAAATTTTATAAAATAAATGATATATAATATTTTCATAGTAGTTGGGTCTCTCAATATTTTCACAGAGAAAATTTGACACAGAGAAATTTGGCCTCAACATAGAGAAATTTCACCTTGACACAGAGAAATTTCAATTTTTACAAAGAAATTTTGAAATTTTTTTAGTATGATCATAGAGAAATCGAGGGATTTTAACTAATAAAAAAAATGTATTGAACCTCTCCTATACCTAAAATTAGAGAAGGATGTTTTACTAATTTTTCCTTTTTAAAATCTATATTAAGGCAAAACTCTTTTTATAGTGGTGTGTGTTTCTCCAAATGATATTTTGCCAACAAAATAATATACATTTGGGTTTTAATGTATCACAATGTAACAAGTAGACGTACATTGGAGCATATTTTTTTCCCCCCTCTCTCTCTTGAATTATACATATATTGCGATATAATTTTTATTCTATTTTTTAAAAATAGTTTTAGCTTTTACATATCTTTTAATTGTAAAAATATTAAATAATTAAAATTACTTTTTTTATTTAAAATTGTTAATTGTTCCTCCAATTTAATTATTATTTCCACTATTAAACTGACAGTTATGTTAAAATGTTACAAATTTTATGTCTTATTAATTATGTTATATATTTATTTAAAATTACATTTTTATATCATGATAAGTAAGACTGGGGAGTTGAGTTATACTCTCCTTAGGGGAGTTGAATTAAAGTGGCAAACAATTGACTTCCGTAGGTACTAATTTAACAATTGACTTTCACCGATCAAAAAAGAAAAAGAAAAAAGAAAAAAGAAAAATAGTAAGATTGGATTTATTGTCATGCAATGCATATGCTACAATACATATGCACATAATTATGTATATAACTAGTTTATTAAAATTTATGAAATATTCTTTCTTTAATTTTTTTTTTTGGTCTTGTGCATTGTACGGGTCAAATGTTAATGAATTTTATAAATTTTTCACAGAAGAAAAAAATGCCCAAAGTATGTATCAAAATAATCTTTCAATGAGATTTAGTAGAAAAATATAAGAGTGGATAAATATTGGGCGGGGCTGACACTATTAGTAAGAGTATGTATGTGCGTCATCCCAATCTCGGTTCAGACCGACATCCGACCTAACCTAGTCATTCCAAACCTAATCTTAAAAGAATATCTAAACCTCAAGTTCATTCACTTTAATCTAATATATTTGAATTCTTTAAAATGAATATAATTTTTAAGAAATGCTTTAGTTTAAGTTATAAAAAGAAGTATATATATATGTATTTTTTTTATTTTTCTAATTTATTTTGTAACTAAATAATATAAAAATTAAAATTAATATTTTTTAAATAGATGGGTCAGGCTGGCTGCCCTAAAACTTTGTATCCCAAACCCAGCTTAAAAATTAATTAGGCCAAAAAATTTTGTTCAACCCAACCTTATATGGACAAAATATGTTACCCAAACTATAAAAAATATCGAACTGGGTTGGGCGGGTAGTGGCTAGCTAGCCGGCGATAGCCCTGGTTTTTGAGAGCTTACGAAGAGTATTTTGACCCGTAAAATTTAGATGGGCTAGGACAATATCTTAAGCCCATTAGAGCAAGCCCGGAAGCCCAATGAAAACCTCGCTGGAATTGCAAACAACTCTCTCTGCCCCCATCTCTCTCTCTCTCTCTCTCTCTCTCTCTCATGGAATCTGTATCTGGAAAGACATGGGTATGCTCTGTTCTCTATCTCACTTTCATCACTACCTCTCTGTACCTTCTTCAAACCCTAATTTTGGGTCAATCAATTTTGATCCACAACAATGTTATTCTCAAGAAACAACCCGATCTTCCTTTACGCTTCCGCGCCGATGGTACTTTCAAAATCCTACAGGTTATCTCGAGAAAACACTAATTGGGTTACTTTTTGTTTTTGGGAATTTCGTTTTTTGTGGTGATTTTGTGAAATGGGTTTGGCAATTAGGTGGCTGATTTGCATTATGGGAATGGGATTGTGACTCGGTGCAGAGATGTGTTGGATTCTGAGTTCGATCACTGTTCCGATCTCAATTCGACCATGTTTTTGAAGAGGATGATTGAGGCTGAAAAACCTGATTTTATTGCTTTTACAGGTAATGAATGGTTCTTTGACTTTTTTTTTTTTTTTGCCTGGGTGAAATTGCTTTTAGCTGTTTTGAATATGTTGAATACTGTTTGATTACTGGGATGTACACTCAAAAAATCATCTGCAGTTGTGGTGTTATTTGCTAGGCTTTCTATGGGAGTTTCAGAGCCAGTTTTGATTTTAGCTGTTTTTGTTTTGCGCTAGATAGTCCTAAGCACCACATCTTAAAGGATTGATGATGGCAATCTTTCAAAAGATTTGCCTTTTAGATGTGGTGCTTAGATTGGGTTCATTGTTCTTGGCTCAATTGATTTTCCACTTTCCCTTGTATATGGGTTCATTTGGGAGGTGGGTTGGTTTTTTTTTTTACTATTTTAGCATGAGGTTAAAAAGTCTCGTTTGGGAAGGACTTTTTGACTTTTTTGTGAGAGAAAGAATGTAATGATTATAAGTTAGATGTGATGTTTTGTCTTATTGAACCAAAAAAACTTATTTTGTCTTTTTATGGCTAAAATAGCCCTAATCCCAACCCAACCCTTCTTTCCAAACGAAGTCTATATAAGTTAGAGAGAAGAAAAAAGAAACAAGAGAGAAGAAAAAAAAGTGGTTTGCCTCACATCAACATTTTATAGACTTCCATTAGTATAGAAGTTTGCAATCACCCCTTAATAGTTAGGACTTTTGGATGTGGCGCCTGAATTGTGTCATATTGCTCTTGGCACTGTGTGTTGACTTTCCCTCTTCCCCTTGTATATATCTCGGCAGGAACAAGAAAAAAATAGACCACCCCAAAAAGAAAAAAAGGCTCTCGGAAGGTATACAAAAAAAATTTCCTGGTGAAACTGTCACAATGGTTACACGGGTTTGATGCATAATGGAGACTATTAGTATACTGAATAATTAGTTTTGGACATATATGTGTGTTTTACCCAGTGTTATTAAAGGTGCACTTAGGCGTGCGTCTAGGCTCAAGTCCCATCTAGGTTCAAGGTTTGCGTCTTGTAGTGTTCCAGGCTAGGTGACTTCGCTAAGACCTAGGCCCAAGTCCCGTCCAGGTCCAAGGTTTGTGCCTTATAGTGTTTCAGGCCAGACGACTGTGATAAGGCGATTGGCCCAAGGCTTGTGTTTTGAGGGGGTTTTTTTTTATTGTTGTTTTAATTGGTTTTGTTTAAAATCTAACCATTAATTTAGGTCTCGTTTGGAAACAGGCTTTTTTAGTAATTTTTTAACTTTTTGGCTAAAATATGATGTAAAAAAAACTAGTATGTTTGGGATGACTTTTTGATTTTTTACGAAAAGATGTGCAAAAAATAGAGAGAAAATAAAATCTTTAACTTTTTGGTATAGGTTGTTGACTTTTTGATTTTTTTAGTGACTTTTTGGCTTTTTGACTAAAATTATCATTTGTCAAACGAGGCTAATATGGTGCAGCTACAGAAGATCTCTACTCTTATTATAGATGCCAGTACATTGGGCATTCAACCTCAAATCAATGATAGAAGAAAAATTAGTCCTAATTTCTAATCTCCAAAAAACACTAAGGGTTGGTTTGGCAATGGCTCATTGGGCTTTTTTGGCTCAATGAGCCATAAAAGATAGAATAGGCTCATGAGCCACAACAGACAAAACATCCCATCCAACCCCATAATCATTACACTCTTCTCTCACAAAAAAATCAAAAAAGCCAAAAAGCCAAAAGCCCTTCCCAAACTAAGCTTTTGAGCCCAGGCTCATATAGTCAAAAAAGCCAAAAAGCCAACCCACTTTCCAAATGGAGGCTAAATGTTTAATATTTCATTTTGTTTATGTTAAATCCTAAATTATTTACTTATATTAAATTATATATTTTTTTCTGTACAAGGTGCGCCTCACTTCGGTGAAACCTGCACCTCGCCTTGCGCTTTGAGCCTTGAGCCTAGGCCCCAGGAGACCTTGGCGCCTTGGTGCGCCTATCACCTTTAATAACATTGGTTTCACCAACACAAAGGTAAAGGATGAATGGAATGAAGCTGCAGTAGCTTGTGAGCGGCCGTGCTAAGACTAAGTATAGTCCGGTGTGAAATATTTCTTACTTCTTCCCAGGAGATCGTGTGAGGTCCAGGGGTAATGACCTCCTGGTTCTTTGGTTGCCTCAACGAAGACAACTTAAAATCTCCATGGCGTTTGAAGTCGAAAAGGAAAATGACAACTATGGAGAAAAACAAGAATTTAATTGTATTCAACAGATTGAAGTACAATAGTTGGAACAAACTATGCTAATCTTAGAAATGAAAATTATAGTAACTAATGAAGCTAGTGATAATCTAAGACTAAAAAGACAGAGAGTCTTGAGAGTTAAAGTTTGCTAAGCTATGCTGAGTTGATTGAATGATTGGCTGGGCCCTTTTGTTCTTGCAATCTGCCCTTTTATATAACCAGGCCTTCCCTAGTTCTTTGGTTCACTTCCTCCTCTTTCTGAGCTACTTCCAGTTAGTGGGATGCTAGGTTAGCTCTTGAAGTGCCAAGTGTCTCATTTACATAACTTGAGGCCCAAATATCTCCTGCATTGCAACATTATCTCCTGTATTGCCGAATTTGCTAACTGCAGGAGCAATTAACTATTGCCATCTATGATGCACGGTCACGGACACGGACACGGGACACGACACAGACAAGCGGACACGTAAATTTTCAAAAAATAGAGGACGTGACTCACCGGGGACATGCTCAATATATATAATTTTATTTATTTATTATATGCCGAAAATAAAAATGAAAATAAAAAATCATTAGAAGGTAATTAAAAATACAAAATAATATAAAAGTCAATGCCATATTTAAGAATCAAAATTGGCTCTTACAAAATTATAATAATGATAAGATTAATAAATACAACACCAAAAGATTTTTGTTAGTGTGGAGGAGTATTTTAATATTAAAATATTATGTATATATAATATTATAATGGAAGATGTGTGAAGGTGAATGCATTAGTGAGGTTACTGGGCTAGTGGTGGTTTCGTGGGATGCTGATCTTTAGTTGGCCCACAAACCTATTTATATATAGTAAAACAAATCAATATTTGTTTCCACTAGTGAAGAATAGAAAACAAAGAAGAGAGAGAGGAAAAACGAAGAGACAGACGAGGAAGAAAAAGAAGGCGAAGGCGAAGGCGACAGTCGAGGAAGAAAAATGAAGGCAACAGAGGAAGAATGAAGAACAGAAGAAACGAATTGAAGAAAAGAACAAAACGAAGAATGAAGAACAGGTTAGGGCTTTCTCTCTCTCTCTCTCCCCAACGAGTTAGGGTTTCGATCCACCTCTCTATTTTTCAAGCTTTATCTTGTTACAGAGTGTCCAAACGTGTCTTGGCGTGTCGAAAACGTGTCCGGCTAGAAAAATTAAAAAAAAAAGCAAGGGACCCGTCTGGTAGAGTGTCCGACACGTGTCTACCGCATGTCCGACTCGTCTCCGTGTCCGACACGTCTCCGTGTCCGACATGTGTCAGACACCTGTACGCTGCCTCGGACAAGGTGTCCGTGCTTCATAGATTGCCATCTACTTCTGGCCGTTGGATGATGGTTAGTGGAGCTCCAACTATGATAGATGAATGTTATGTGTCCAAAACCTCTATGCTACACCCTAAGATTATGGCATAATATCTCAATCAATTGCTATATAATTGGAAACCACCACCACTCCCTTATTTGATATATGCACTTGATAAGATCACTAAGCATCTTCATTCTCGTGGGTCACCCATGCCATGTGTCAACCCCATATTTGGCTGTTACTCCTGGAAAAAACACATTACTAAAACTACCATGTACATCCATTTATTTGAATGACCAATGACACATGGCACCATCCGACAAGGCAGTCATTTTTGATACAAACAATGTGTATACACACACATTCAAAATCTCTTATTCTTGAAATTTGTTACCTTTTTTTGGAAGCATATTTATTATAGACATTACCTTAGGAAAATAAAGTTTCGGGCTTTGTAAATGAGCAAAAGTGACATTATTTGCGGTAGCATTGTTCATTGATGAGGGATATGCCATGCGAAATGGGCTTTAGAGTTTGGTTTGTGAGCTACCCAAGATGGACGTGTGGAATATTGCCTGAGCCTTTTCTAGTGTACTTGAAGGTAGATGAATTGAACGTCCTTTGAAGATGGGTTGCTGACCTCTTTTTGTTGGAGCAATTGATGCTTAGCACTTTATTCTATTGTGCTTTGGGGGAATGTTCAATGTATTGTAAATGACTTTATTGAGTTCTTAGAGAGATGGGTAGAACCGTTTAAGATGTTTTGTGGTATGTTTTGACTTTCTTGGCCTTAGGTTGGTGGCTTATAGTCCTTCATTGTGTACCATTTAGTATTTTTCTATTTAGTCTGTACTTACAGAAAATAGAAGGAAAAAGCTTTGGGGCTCACTTTATGTTTTCAAATTTTAATTATGAGCATGAGGAAATATCATCTCTTATTATCTACCTACTTTAATTCCTGTTACAAAAATAGATAATTTTGTATCTAACTATATATAGGCGGGCACTGTTTTTTTTTTTTTTTTTTTTTTTTATACAAAAACCTATGTTAGTTAAACCTATTTTTTTTTTTTTGGGTGGGGGTTGTTGGGGGCTTGGAAGATATATGTTCAAACCTCAATTTTGCTTATTAAAAGATATGCTATATTTAAGCCCTTGTTATCGTCTAACAACTACCATCCATTATTGAATTTTTGGTGAAAATGTTTATCTTGGAAATTACTTAGTTTGTTTTTTTAGCCAACCATCATATACATGTGTCCTTGTTCGTCTCTCTATTGGACATGTGTAGCACCAATCGTCTGACACTCTACAACATGTTAAAAAGTACAGACACTTTTAAGAACGTGGTGTGTCTGTGTTGGACACATGTTTATGTCCAATTATTTTTTAGACCCGGACATAATTTGAACACTTTGGGGGACACATGTATCCATCGTTCAAACACGCATGAAACACATAGCAAGTTTGAATAA